CATTGCTATATATGGATTTCGTTTTCATTTTGCGGTCCCGAGTAGTAAATGACACACATTCTGTTCAGGGGACAGCGGCAGTAGTACATGCAGGACTGCTCGCAGCACTCAAAGTTGTTGGTGGCTCTTTGGCAGACCACACTTTCTTGTTCTTTGGCGCTGGAGAAGTGGGTTTTCGTTCTACTCATGCTTTCCTTCTTAATGAAGCTTAATTGGAAGAATTAGTAGTACATGATGTCCATCTCTTCAAGATCGCAGTTTAATTTCCCTTGTCTCGGTATTAAGTTAAGATCCTTAATAGATTCATCCCCAGATGAGATCAACTTGATCTAACATTGATGATATGCTCAAAGCAGGCGGGCACTGGCATAGCAGAACTCATAGCTCTCGAGATGTCAAAGCAGATACTCATCTATTGTTCTGGTTTGGAGACTTCTCGTGGTTAGGTAATCATATTGTCTATAACGAGTCAGCGACCATCTTCTTATTTCATTAATTGTAGTGTGGATTTATGGTCATTGCAGGCAGAAACTCCAGTGGAGGAGACTCGGAAAAACATTTGGCTAGTAGATTCAAAGGTTATAGATGTTTTAATAAATACAAGCTGCTTTAGTTGCAAAAGAAATCCAAAAGATGTCTCGATATATCATAGTGCAGGTTGTGATTTTTCCTCATTTTTTATGGCAGGGGCTGATCCTTAATTCTCCGAAGGATTCACTTCAACACTTCAAGAAGCCTTGGGCTCATGAACATGAACCTGTTGAGGATCTTCTGGGTGCTGTCAAGGTGGGAAAACTATTCCTTGCTAGTTCTTTACATTCCTTTCAGAGTGAGTGTTTGTGTCTTTATTTTCCTTCACTCGTCGTGCATTTACTGTCCTTCTCAGGCACTCAAAACCACGATTTTGATTGGATCAGCTGGAGTAGGAAGAGCTTTCACAAAGGAGGTTATTGAGGCCATGACCTCTTATACCAAGGTATGTTCATCCCTTAAGCCTATGGACAAGTTATCCGGGAAATAATATTACTACTTTGCCTCTTTTCTACACCATTTAACGAAATGAACCGTAATTTTTGTTGGTTTGTAACGTAGAGACCTCTTATTATGGCCTTGTCCAATCCAACGTCCAAATCAGAGTGCACAGCGGAAGAAACTTACACCTGGAGCAAGGTAAATGTAAAGCTCATCTTTTAACATGCAGTACCTTATCCTGCACCCTCTGATAACGATATCATAATACCCCAATCGCAGGGTCTTGCTGTTTTTTCTAGTGGAAGCCCGTTTGACTCCGTTGTACTCAACGGCAGACTTTTTGTGCCAGGCCAGGTAAACCTCTTCTTCGGGGCTCATCCCTTGTCTCCATCTCTTGCTATTTATTTCTTTTTGGATTTGAATGATGCTCTGGACTTTGCCTTTTCTTATACTCCAGGCCAACAATGCTTACATCTTCCCTGGGTTCGGTCTGGGTTCGGTCATCTCAGGGTCACTTCATGTACATGATCAAGTGCTTTTAGCCGCTTGTAAGTAATCTGCTAATTCATGTTCCGCCATTACTTGCATGTTCACTAATTAGTGAGGCTCAAGTGAAATAAGCAGACTATTATCATTCTAAAGCTTCTTTCTTGGTTTCAACATAGCGGAGGCGTTAGCTGGTCAAGTGTCACAGGAAGACTTTGAGAAGGGGCTGATCTATCCACCTTTGAGAAACATCAGAAAGATTTCTGCACAAGTAGCAGCCAACGTAGCTAAAGTGGCTTACGATCTCGGTTAGTGCACTTTGGCAATGCTACTTATAGTTCCATCCACATGGAAATATCTTTTCTCTCCTGCTTAGCCCATTGTATTTTCAATCCATTTTAGGCTTAGCGACACTCCTACCTCGTCCGGGATATCTTGTCGAGTATGCAGAAAGTTGCATGTACAGTCCGTTCTACCGAAACTATCGATGAATAGCGACTGTCCGCCCATTGAATCGCAGGAGAGTTTGGTGATTTGGGATGTGTGGGCCATTTTCCTTTCTGTTCCTTTCTTAAAAGAAGTCCCATATACAGTTTTTCCCTTCTCTTTTGGTCCCAAAAGTAGCCTGCTCTGGAGCAACTACAGTAGTGAAATAATGTCTCGGAGAACTTAATGAAAGGTTTTTTGGCAGGTATTCCACGGATGACACTCTTCCGCTTCTCACTGGCAATCTTTAAGCTCCTTCCTTTGCGTATACACTTAAATCAGCAAGAGTATCGAGGTATCTTTGGGACAAGTAGTTCTGACATAAGATGGGTGCACATGATGCAATTTTGGACAATTTAGGATCCGATGCTGGTATGACTTTGCTGAAGGAAACTTATCCAGTCAATTTAAAACCCATTGTATGGAATTTAATTCAGTCGTAATTTTTTTTAATTTTGTCAATTTAGCCCTAAAATCTTTGCGCAAAACTTCAATGTAATCCTTCCGGTTAATTGTCGTCGGAAGTTACCAACATAGCCGTGAATCACGTAGGACAGCGTTGATGACCGGACCGTTAACGGTCGGCGTTGATGACCGGACCATCAATACGCAATTTTTCGGCAAAGATTGATCGGGTAAATTACATCAGAATTTCTCGCAATGACACTAGTATAGTAGGTCCAAAATTGGTTGGATAATTTCCACAATTTGCTAACAAAAAGAAGCAAAAAAGCAGCAAGTTTGATAAAAAAGAATAAATAGAGAATGACCTTGCTAAATATGGAGAACTGCAGGACACTTATTAGAATCATGTGAAAAACTCAGTCTATACATCACTAAACGTGTTCTCATGCATGATGACAATGTACGTTAAGCCTTATCTGTGGTCAGAAGTCCCAAAACACATACAGAGATTAGTATCTCCAATAATAGCTGAGTAGCACTAGAATACCAATTTCATAGTCTATCATTCATAAAGTATAGAAATTAATGTAGGTCATCAACATATCATACCCGTCTTCAACAACTGTGTTTCACTTGGATCGGAAAAGCATCTCTTCCTTGAGTTACCGTGCTGACTTTGAATAGTGAAGAACGACAAATTTGATTATATGCAGGAATATACAGACATGAATAAGTTACTATGAGCCAATAAAAACTTAACCTACCCTATGATGTTTCATTTTTGAAGAGCTGAGAAAAATATATATGTTCTTGGAGAGTTATTCCATCTTTTGTTATTATTTTGCATGCATTTACGGGCTAGCAAGGGCTTATCTAAAATAAAGAGATATTTGAATGATATGAACTCGATGGACCATACCAATCACAATCCCACGAATCGTATAAATTACTTCTATGCTCGTCAGAAGTGCAACCATTGGATGGACTCCAACACTTTAATTGAAGCTCTACGTTACATAACATAAGTAGTGATAAAACGAGTCAATACAAGCATGTCACGATTTTAAATGTAATGGGTGGAACAACAGATACCATAGCATTTGTTTCCACTATATATGTCCATTTCAATCTCTTGTATAATCAATGAACTGTTTCAAATAGAAGAAAGCTAAAACAGTTTAATTAATCAGCCCGAAGCTAAAACAGAGAGAGAGAGAGAGAGAGAGAGAGAGAGAGAGAGAGAGAGAGAGAGAGCCAAGTCAAGTCTTTCCGTGTCTAAAGCTTGTTTCTGTGTTTTTAACGTAGCGGAAGCTGTTAGATGGTCCAGCGTCACAGGAGGACTTCGAGAAGGGACTAATCTAATCCACCTTTGACAAACATCAGAAAGATTTATGCGCAATTAGCAGCCGCCGTAGCTAAAAGGGCTTACGATCCCGATTAGTGTGCATTTGCCAATGTTACTCATAGTCCCCATCCACAAGGAATTTTTTGTTTCCTCCTCCTTTGCCCGTCATGTTTTTGATCATTTTTAGGCTTAGCGACATGCCTACGTCGTCCAGAGAATCTTGTCGAGTACATAGAAAGTCGCATGTACAGTCCAATCTATCGAAACTATCCTTGAAAAGTGGACGGACCCATCCATCGAATCGCACAAGAGCTGGCGCTTAGACGTGTGGGGCATTCCCTTCTCTTCTCCTTTCTTAAAGAGTCGCACATAACAAAAATTTCCCTTTCGTTTGGGGCCAAAAAGTCGTCTGCTTTATAGCTCAGGCAACTCCAGTTATGAAGTTCTGTTTTGGCGTTTTCAGAAGGCTTTTTGGCAGGTATTCAATGGATGTATGCTCCTACTTTCAACCTTGTTGCTTCTGGTTCTATCCGTCTAACTGTTTGAACAGACAAGATCATGTAGACACCCATCTTGGTCGAATGATAGCATGAGTATCGTCGTATCAGATAAAATTAAAAGAAGCGCTAGAACCCTGCTAAGAGCCAGCAAGCATATAATATCCACGTCAATGACCTTACTAATTCCGTGCAGAAGGTACAGTATATAATATGGTCCCCAAGTGGCAATGGCATTGATTCAACTACACACCGACCCGCCGAATGCTTCAAAGTTTTCGAATCACACCCGGAATACATCGTATAGTTGGAAAAGTTACCACAACATGCGAATATTGACAGTTCCTTTTGCCTTTTAGATGGTCTTCTGAGGGTAGCCTCCAGGTCAAAAACTTAAATCGATACTTTGTCAAGTGTCGAAGTTCGTCACTTTTTTTGTTTGCCATTTCATACGAAGAATCTCTTCACACAAACAGCGATCAAACGAATCAATGCATATGCCGGTGGTCATGCTGTATGTAAAGGCCAAACAAGTAGCTAATTTAGGAGGCAAGTAACTAAAATAAGGCCGAGGCCGCTGAACGATGGGCAATTGTACCCATTTGATGTTCTTCTCTAAGATCATCATGCCCATCTGTACGAGTTCTCAAACCACAACCCTACATTGGGCAAGTGCGGATTGATAGGCTGCCGCTTTTCACTGGCAAACTCTAAGCTCCTTCCCTTCTGTATACATTTAAATCAGCATGAGTATCGGCATATCTTTGGGACAAGTAGGTCTGACATTGGACGGGCGGAAACCTGCACATTGATGCAATTTTGAACAAATTTAGGATCCCATGCTGGTATAAATTTGCTAGAATGCACCATGTCTAATTACTATTGGAGAAGCTATGCTAAACGCAGCGCCCAAATCCCCACACAAAAAGGATCCAAGCCTGCAAAGAAAGCGTGCGAGCATGCAGTTGATCGTGTCAATTCGTCAAATCCAGGACAAGTCAATGCCTAATCAATGCCTAATTCATGAGTAAACATTTTCTTTTCTCATGAATTATGGAGTTAAACTTATATACAGCCCTCTTAACCGTGCTTGGATCCTTGGAGGCTTGGACATGCAATATCCACTTCGGCACGCAGGTTCGAAGCAGAGCAGTGGCACTGAAGCACAATACATAAAGACACTTATTCGAATCGGGGAGGAGAGCTAGGTCTTAGGACTGAGAACTGATAAGAGAGGAAGTAGAATTGCACCATCTTGTTGATATATCGGAAAAAATGTGCAGAAGACAACTCACTTGGGATGATTTTCCTCTGACATACATGTTGGCAAGCACTCGATGAGACAATCATGGTTAGGCTCCAGGAAGCATGCAATCTGCATTTCGTGAGAACATGAGCTAACTAGGGAAGAAAGAAATGCAATCTGACAATAGGATCACTTTTAACAGAAATATTAGCAAAAGAAATCATCAAGAACGGAGAAGGTAACAAATGAAAGATGCTAACTAGGGAAGGAAAAACAATTAGGCTTCTTTTGCGAAAACTAATGTGGATCATCCCTGAAGATAATCTCAAGTTGTGAGGAATTTATTAAGAGTTTGATCACAAGTTCAACTGACTTGCCACTAGATCGTGATCTCAAAACTAGAACCCTTTTTTGAATCAGCTTACAACCATCCAAGATTGGCTTCAACTGCCCTTTTTCCGGTTGAAGAAGTCACAACTTTGGTCGCCAATAAATTAGACTTTTTTCGATAGATTCGACAATGCTTGAAAATTCTCTTGGAGGCTTTTGCCGAATTTTTCAAAAGATGAGGAGAAATGTGTGTTTGTGAGTGCGTGAGAGAGAGAGAGAGAGAGAAGGCCTTACCGAATACCGTTCTTGACCATTCCCTACAACTCGATGGAGTGTGGACCTGATTGCAAAAGCAAAAGTATAGATTTGACAAAATGAAGCAAAAAGGCATCAAGTCAAATTTGAAAAAGAAAAAATAGAGAATGACTTGCCAAAAATAGCGAATTGCAGGACACTAATTAGATTCATGTCAAAAACTCATTTCATATATCACCAAAGCATGTTCTCATGCATGATGACAATGCATATTAAGCCTTATCTGTGGTCAGCAATCCCAAAACACATACAAAGATTAGTATCCACAAGTCGACCAATAAAAGCTGAGTGATAATAAAGGCACTAGAATAGCAAATTTATTGTTGGGAAAATACTACCAAAAACCTCAAACTATGCCACTTGTGACAAATTTACCCTGAACTTTTTTTTGTGATACGAAAAACCCCAAATTATGCCACCTATGACACATTTACCCCACAATACTTTGGCCCAAGGGCATTTTTATCTTTTTCCTTTTTCTGTTTTTTTTTCTTTTCTTCTCTCTTTCCTCCACCGGGTGGCCCTCGCCGGCGTTGGGGTTGGGCGAGGGCTGCCCTCACCTGATCCGATCGCCTGGGCAGCCCTCGCCCAACCCCAACATTGGCGAGGGCGGCCCTCACCGACTTCCCTCCGCCAAGGCCGGCAGAGGGAAGAGAGAAGAAAGCAAAAAAAAAAAACAGAAAAAGGAAAAAGACGAAAATGCCATTGAACCAAAGTATTGTGGGGTAAATGTGTCACGAGTGGCATAGTTTGGAGTTTTTTGTGTTACAAAAAAAAGTTCGGAGTAAATATGTCACAAGTGGCATAGTTTGAGGTTTTTTGTGGTATTTTCCCTTTATTGTTTGATATTCATAAATTGAATTCTGTGTAGAAATTAATGTAGGTCACCAACATATCATACCGTCTTCAATAACTGCGTTTAACTTGGATTTTTTTCCTGAGCAATGTCAAGAGTAGATGCTCTTTCACTACTAATGGGTAACTGATATCAGCAAGAGCCAGGAGGGTGCAACAGATGAAATTCTGGTGGAGTTTGGGACAGGTTAACAATCTATAGTAGCCTGCCATAAGATAATCTCCAACTTTCATGTTCAAAGCTTTTCTCATGCTAATTTATCTATATAGATTATTATTAAATCATATTACCTGAAAATACAATTGCTCCATCGTTCTAGCATATCACCAAGATTCACTATGAATGCTCTGTCCAAAATAGTCATAGAAAGAATGTTACTTTTCAGGATTACTGGGAGATTCTTTTGTCTATGTATAACTGAATCTAAGCAATAAACTAAACAACTAAATGAGGGTAGTTACAGAAATAATTGTAGAATGTGTATGATGCATGGTAATTCTATGACCGTTGACCTGCACAATATAAACCAGGAAAGAATGGTGGAGTACCATTGTGTGCATGTGTGTAAGAGTGTTTGAGAGTGAGAGAGATTGTGAGGGAGGGAGGTTCGTCAGCAAGGCACTAGAAGGATTAAACTGATAAGTTAATATGGACACTTATATAGATGCAAATTGCAAAAAGGAAGGAGAAGTGGATGAGGGCACCTCTCTAATTTTCTAATGGACATCCATCTTTATCACCCATCTGACAATAATACTTTCTCTCTAACTGGCATATAGCTGCCTTTGTACGAATAAGAACTATAGTAGCAGATCAAGAGAGAAGGAAGGATTTTTGTCAAAAAGTTGTTACTGGTACAAGGGTAGTATTTTACACGTTGGCATGAAGCAATCTTCCAATCGTGCATACAAGGAGAAACACATTATTGTGCACATTCCCCAATAAACCAGAAGTACAAGATTAATAATAAAGTTATTGCAAGTTATATTTGTAGGCCATGGATCACTAGTATATAAATCCTATCACGATTATCTTCTGCCAAAGCATCCAAAATACTCTAAATATGAGGAGTCTAATGTAATCATCTCAAATTCGCAATTGTAATGCACTTGGCCTTTACCCTCTCAAAGGTAGCACATATTCCCATGTCTGAGGTTTAGCATCCTTGTTCTTGCAAATCTGAAATAGTTTGAAAAGTTCCATCCATCATAACTATGACTAAAGTCTGCACCGACAGTTTCATTGGAGAAAATATCATACTTGGAGACCTGGGACATCCTCTGTTGCCAACAAGGTAATAAACCCAAAGTCAGAATGTGCCCCAGCTCCATATATTCCTTTGGAGGGATCAGAGACTAAACCTAATCAAAGAAAGGAATATCAACTGGATGAGAAGAAAGAATTGTTGGGTTTACTATGTAGTTGAGTGAAGTAAAATCTACCTTCATAGTGCAACAAGCGCAAGGTCGCAATAGGCTCGCCGAGAATTTCTGGCTTATCAAAAAATTCAGCCTCCAGATCAAGTGCTAGAGCAATGATCCTTGAAACTACTTTTGCCACATTTCTGAGTTTGCATATTTACAAATAAAAAAATTACCGAATTGACTACTGTCACTTGTTTATACCAACAAATTAGACTTAATCTTGCCACATAGATCATCTAGGCATTACTCTTGGATACAAAAGTCAAATGATATAGAGTTAGAGAACCTATGCAACAAAAATCATGACTGTAATATCAGCCTTGAGTTGAGGCACTTGTAAGCAATTAGACACTTGAGTTGAGGCTCTTGGTCAATGTGATTAATAGTAAATCTCGACAGCTAATAATAACTTTACCATATTGCAGCATAGTAGCTTTGGAACATTACAAATAACTAGAAGAGATTTACACTTTGGCCAACATAGGATAAGAGCCCAAGAGAGCATATACTATTCAGACGTGAGAGGCAATTTAACTCCCATTAGGCCACCTACAAAAACTTGACAATATCTTATGCATATGGAGGGGGAAGATGGTGAACATTGGGTACTGAAAATGCCTAAAATACCCCATCATAGAAACAGAAGATCTCTGAATTATCTTTTACTTGGATGGAAAAAAAATTTATATCCAGAAACTCGTGCTCTTATCATCTATAGGAAAACTTACAATGCCTGACTATGAAATTTTTCCATCGTCTGCCTCCATCTTGGCAATATCTCTATGGAAAATACAACAATGAAACCAAAATAAGCATTCATTATCAGCAACTATATTAAGTTGGACAGAAATTATATTAAACAACTGGTTACCCTCAGAAGGCCAGAGGTTTGGTCCAAAATGAGGCTTCTGTGCACCTGGATCATCCTCCGGTACTTCCACTCCTATGTAGTATCCTTCCTTATAATCTCCTATAAAACATCAATGGAATCATTACTACTCCAACAATCTTCAGAAGATGATAAGCAGATAGGTCACAACAAGCTTAACAAGCTTCAGCCAAATCTTTGTCTTAGAGCTCATGGTTTGGGTTAGCTCCTATTTCTGTGTCAGTTCTCTCCAAGGATACAATCACAAACAGGAAAAATAACTAATTGATCTTCCTTTTCTAGGAACTGCTACTCAACCACCACCTGATTACAGGAAGCTATCAACATCACCAGCTATTCATCTATGTCCGCTTTAAGCAGTAAAATCTTTCAGCAAACCAACACCCAAAAGGGAACAAATAGGATCATTGGACACAAACCGTTTATCTGATTTGCAGGATCGAGGACCTGATCGAACAGAGGAGTATAGCCTCGGTGCTTCTCGTTCCTCAACAGCTTCATCTTCTCGCTCAAAGGCAAACCGAAAAACCGCCTGCTCTGAACGAAGACCTCCTCCATTAAATCCTGGCTGATTCCATGATTGATGACGTAGAAAAAGCCAGAATCCAAGCACGCCTGAGGCCCAATGGATCGGATTCATCCGTCAGTATCCCCTCAACTCAAAAACCTTGGTTTCCTAGGATTTACGCGCCGGAAAATCGAATCAAAATAACGGACAAACTCGAGAGTATCGAGGACCTGTTTGAGCAGAGACACCGACCGTTGAACATCGGAGCTCGAGAGGTCGATAAGGTTGAGAGCTGAAGTCGGAACTCCGGCGGCGACTTCGATGGCGTTCGCATCATTCATGCTCGCTGATGCTTCTCCGCCTAGCAGGTCGTTGCTCACTTCCTGAGATCGCCGTTTTGAGCTGCAGCCGATGGAGTACAAGAGACCGAAGGAAGAAAAAGAACGGGAAAATGACGTTCCCTGAAGTTTGACTCAAGGTGCAATTTGATCTCCGAATTTTTAATTTGTTCAGTATAGTCCCTGAACTTTAACACAATATTCAATATGGTCCCTGAATTTTTAATTTGTTCAATATGATCCCTGAACTTTCGATACATGTTCAATATAGTCCCTGAACTTTATAAAAATGTTCAATATAGTCCTTAAACTTGAATCAATGGAAGGACTACATTGAATATTTTTATAAAGTTCAGGGACTATATTGAACATGTACCGAAAGTTCAGGGACCACATTGAACAAATTGAAAGTTTAGGGACCATATTGAACATTAAATTAAAGTTCAGGGACTACATTGAACAAATTAAAAGTTCAGGGACCAAATTGCACATTGAGTCAAAGTTTAGGGACTATTTATGTCATTATCCCAAAAAGAATAGGGAAACACCACCAAAAACCTCCAATTATCCGACAAATTTACCTAGAATTTTTCTTTTACATTTGTGGTATATTTACCCACAGTACTTTTATCCAAAGATATTTTCGTCTTTTTTCCTTTTCTTTCTTTTTTTTTTTTCCTTTCTTCTCTCTTCCCTCCGCCGGCCACGGCGGAGGGAAGCTGGCGAGGGCTGCCCTTGCCGGCGTTGGGGTTGGGCGAGGGCGACCCTCGTCCGACGCCGACGAGGGCAACCCTCGTCTGAGTTGGGCGAGGGCGGCCCTCACCGGCTTCCCTCCGTCGTGGTCGGCGGAGGGAAAGAGAAAAGAAAGAAAAAAATTAAAAAAGGAAAAAGATGAAAATGCCCTTAAGCAAAAGTGTTGTGGAGTAAATGTGTCACAGGTGGCATAATTTAAAATTTTTTCATATCACAATAAAAAATTCAAGGTAAATTTATTTGTAAGTGACGTTGTTTGGAATTTTTTGTTGTATTTTTTCCAAAGAAAATGAAGCCGTTGGACTGATAAAGAATCAGCAAGCAAAGATATACGGTGCCGCATCATCCTTTTTGAAAACAAGTCGGGTGACGTGTCGCCCATGCTATGACGTGATGTTTAGATGTTATCCTAATGTATATATATATGTACGCCCACTGTCAATATTCGAAAATCGCATCTTTTGCCGCAAAATGTCTAACTCAAACAAATGAACAGGGTTTTTCAACTACCTCCGACATTCGTTGGACATAATTTATTCGGGAACCCACCGCCAACTGACTTTTTGTCATACATTCTCACTATTAAAGTCAGTTCTTATCACCTCTAACGTATTTGCTCAGCCATACATTCTTATCACTATTAAAGTCATCCTCACAATTAGCATTTATCTTTAATTGCAAATCTGCCCATTGAAAATCTCACTCGAATTGTTCTCAATGGCACCACATTTTCACTCAACCTTTATGAAGGCCCTACAGAAGTGCTATGGCCCTTGCCTCATGAAATCTTCGTAGGCATTAACAGACTCCCCCTTTATTCCTTCAATTGCTATGTTGAATTCAATCTCGTATATGGCATACGCAACTGAAGTTATTTCGAAATATTTCTCCCCTACATAGGTTTTTCCGGTTTGCGTAAATGTACCTAGAACAATTCCTATGTTCTACACAAGGAACCAATGAAGAAATTGCATTGATAAGGCCCAGCAAGACATAATTGAAATGCATTAATAAAGCCTTACAAGACATAATTCAACCACTATTATAAAAAAAACTAATGATTGGAGACTCATCATACCTTTCGTTGATTACTTATGAAGGTCCAATCATCACCTCTGCCTATTTGAAGGTCTATAAATAGCAACATGAGGAATCAAGTTCAACTGTCTTGTGTCTCCGCTTCAACAACAGTCCATGCAATTAGAAACATCTTATTGTTTCCATCTCTTCCAACAGTACAAAGTAGCATTTGCTTTACTAAGGTCTCAATAAAATAACCATCTAGTCCAATTATTTTCCTACAACCTTCTAGACGACCCTTTTTCAACCCTTCGAATCCCACATAAAATCTCTTGAACATGTTTTATGACTATCTAAGTACAATATCAAATGTGTTGTTCTTACTAGATTGCTTTGATTGAGCTTTTATAAGATGTAATTAACTTATACGGCTTGGCAAATGGACCCCTAATAGTCTTAAGAGCTTTGACAATTGCTTTGTAACAAGCTCTTCTGTTAAGCCTAAGTCCCCACATCTCTATTGCTTCTGCCTGTAATTGTGATGCAGTATATTTCAAATTAGCTCTAATTTAGGCAAGAACTCTTTTGCAAGCCATACGTAAGATGCACTTTAATTTCTCATGCTTCTAGGGCAAGTGTGTTCTTCTCCAACCGTCTTGATAATAAACGTTTCTCTTTTTTCAACCAACTGCCATAAAGGGACCTTTCACATCCGATCACACACTTCGCATGCATCTTTTTTAATTCACTTATATGCCAACCAATGTTGTAGCCATTTGTGATTGCATATTTCTGCACTGCCCTCTTAAACTGAATATGAGACAAATCTCATGCTTGACTGAAACTACTACTCTGTGATCGTAGCTCGGGTCATATCTAATTGTCAAAGCTATTTTCTTTTTTTTGGTCTGAGTCAAAGCTCTTGTTCGGTCGCATTCTTTCTGATCTCTAGAGTTAAGAGGACTAAGATCTTCATGTGCTTCAATGTACTCATCATTTTCATCCTCATTCATGTCTCCTTATCCTGTATCAATAGTAAATATTATCTCCATCCCCACCTTATGTATCCCTTCCTCATCTCTAGATAGGATGTGTTCATCAGATGTCCAAGTTAATAAATCAATCTCAGCATCATCACTCTCACTATCATCACTCTCAAAATAAAAGTCATCATCACTCTTACTATTTTCACTCTGGCTAGCACCCCCATATTCAAGCCCTGCCCCAACCCTATCCACAAGTTCAATCCTAACTTCATCGCTTAACTCAACTTCAACATCAATTTCACCCTGCCTAGCACCCCCAGCTCCACCCCGAATTTTAACCTCAAAGTCATCTATTATTTCAATATCAACTGCATTTTTCATTCCCCCCATACGACGTTCCATCTACAAAAAAAATAGAGAAAAACCCATGTTTAGATTACTATATGATAGTAGAACATGTTTAAGTAATAACAAGAGCAAGCTCAAGTGAAATGGTGACCAAAAAAGAAAGAAGCTCAAGTGACGTTACTTTCTTTGCCTTCAAATGTCAACACACAATGCTCTACTAAAAACGAGAAACCACTATTAACTTTCATAAGCAAACAACAGTTAGAATCTTTGAGGGGTTCATTCAAATTCAGAGAATTATCGAGCTAGAATCGAGCTTCTTCGAGCAAGTCCCGAATCGAGTAAATACAACTTCAGCAATGAGCAGACAAACGAATAGAGCTTCAAACAGACAGAGGGGGAGCAATGACCCTAGAGAACGTGGAGGAACTGATCGAGAGAGCAAATAAGATTTTATGAGAGAGATAACATGAACAAACCCTAGAAATGAACTCTTCAAATCAGAGAGAGAGAGAGAGAGAGAGCTTGTCTTTTGTGGTTTAAATGGCCATCAAAAGGGCGTTGTTTTGGCTATGCAGGCAGCCACATTGGATTTGAACGGCCTTAATTAACAAAATTGTAACGGAAGGTAGATTTGTCTTAAGAGTATAAGTTTGGAATTTTTGTGTAATTAAAAAGAATTGGAGTAAATGTGTTACAATGAATATAGTTTGGGGTTTTTCATGATTTTTTCCCCAAAATAGAGAGAGAGAGAGAGAGAGAGAGAGAGCCAAGTCAAGTCTTCCTGTGTGTAAAGCTTGTTTGTGTTTTAACATGGCGGAAGCGTCAGTTAGTCAAGTGTCACAGGGGGACTTTGAGAAGGGATTGACCTATCCACCTTTGAGAAACATCAGAAAGATTTCTGCGAAAGTAGCAGCCAAAGTGGCTAAAGTGCTTACGATATCTGTAAGTGCACTTGCCAATGCTACCCGCAGTCCCACCCACATGAAAATGCTTGCTCACTCCTCCTTAGCCCGTCATATTTTCAATCCTTTGTAGGCTTAGCGACACGCCCACCCAGTCCAGAAAAATCTTGTCAAGTACGCCGAAAGTTGCATGTACAGTCCAATCTACCGAAACTATTGTTGAAAAGCGGACCCATCCGTTGAATCACAGGAGAGTCGGTGCTTCGACATGTGCACGTACAAACAGTTAATTTAGGAGCAAAATAAGGTGGAAACTGCTGAACATAAACAGATCATTGGTTGTATGTGCATATGTATGTACATGAAGGTACTCTGTTGGACGCTCTTCTCTAAGCTCATTATGCACATCTGTACAAGTTCTAAAATTATAACCCTACTTCGGGCAAGTGCGGGTTGACAGGCTTCCGCTCTCACTGGCAAACTCTAAGCTCCTTCCGTTCTGTATACATTTAAATCAGCATGAGTATCTTTGAATCTTTGGGACAAGTAGGTCTGACATTGGACAGGCGGAAACCTGCACATTGATGCAATTTTGAACAAACTTAAGATCCCATGCTGGTATAAATTTGCTAATTTGCACCATGTCTAATCAATATTGGAGTTTCGACCAGATAAAAAAAATCACTATTGGAGTAGCCTTACCAAAAAAAAAAAAAATCACTATTGGAGTAGCTATGTTAAACGCAGCACCCAAATCCCCACGCAAAAAGGATCCAACCCCGTAAAGAGAGCGTATGAGCATGTAATTGATCGTATCAATTCATCAAATCCAGGACAGGTCAATGCCTAATACACGAGTAAACATTTTTCCCTCATGATCATGGAGTTAAACTTGATGCAGTCCTCTTAACAGTGCTTGGATGATCCTTATACGTGCAATATTCACTTCAACATGCACGTTCCTAGCAGAGCACCAGCAATCAAGCACAATGCGTAAAGACACTCATTCAAATCGGGGAGGAAAACTAGATCTGAGGACTGAGAACTGATAAGAGAGGAAGTACAGCACCATCTTGTTTTTTTTTTGG